GGATGGTTAGGGTGGGATGGTTAGGGTGGGATGGTTAGGGTGGATGGTTAGGGTGGATGGCCTCCACAGGGGCGGATCTGTGCTGTTTCTCACCCCGAGCCGTCCTGCATCCCAGCTGTCCAGCTTCACAAGGAGCGCCCGTCAAGCCTGTGGGCTCAGGGGCACGCAGGGTCAGTGGAGGAGAGCGCCCTTCTGCGTGGGATTCAGTATACACAGCACATACACACCAAGTCTCGACTGTAACTATTATGTGTCAAAACTTATACAAATAAAATTCAAAATGAAATACAATACTGTCTCGTAACGCCAGACATATTATCAGCATTATGCTAAGACTACTGTGAGCAACAGTTTCCTAATTATCTTCTTAAGCCACATGATCTTCACAAACTTTAAGCACAAATTGCTTTTTAGTATTAACAACTTCTACCTGCTTATGTGTAATTGCCTGACTAATCTTTTAAGGAGAAATTATTTCTGTCAGAAAATACAGTCTACCTGCAAAAGAAAAGTTACCACACTTAACAGTATTTCTGTAGATACCAAAAGATAAAATGACTATGACTTGGGAATCCACCCCAGCAGAGAGAAAAGCTTCTATTTTTTCTAAAAGTTTTAACTCCACAATAATTTAATCATTGTAATTATAGTTGACAAGTTTCAATATTTTAAGTAAAGAATCTTTACTATGATTAATGTGTAGGAAGATGAAAAGAGACAACCTACAGGAGAAAGTAAACTTCTGCCTACTTTCTTCTGTGCGTTAGCATTAACACAGCCAGCCTCCAGGAAGAGATTACATTCCAAGAACATCAGTGTGTAGGCCCCACGGCGCTGTGTGTGCTCTCATCCTTAAAGCACACTGAAATACCTGCAAATGAACTTCTGCTTTCAGCCAAAAGCTAATTCAGTCGAACACTATTAAACACACACACAACATACACGAAGTGACTTTTCTGATACTGGAAGATTGCTGGCCAGCGACATCCAAACAAGGAAAACCAAGGAGGATTAGCCTACATTCTTCCGCAGGCATCGTGCATGGAGAGGGTTTGCAGGTGGCATGTGAGGAGATGGGGACAGGAAGTGCAGCTCGGCAAGAAGGTTCTGGGTGCAGAGAGGTCCCTCCGAGCTGGAGATGACCACCAACCACCAGCTGTGCACACAGCACACCCAGCGATGAGCAAGCAGCACTCCACGGGAGCAGGGGACACGACCCCCGGGGTCTATAGTCGGAGCAGCTTACAGGCCTCGGAATTTCTAGAGGCAGTACCTCAGGAGGTGGGAAGATCAGCTACAGACAATGGCAGCTGCAGGCTTGTCCTGTGAAACCTGAAAACAAGCCTGGATCAGATCAAGCTTCTTCTAAAAAATTTAGCCATGTCCATGGAAAAAAATACAAGAATATACACAGGAAAATAAAAACAGTCAGTACCCAAGAAGATAAAATTCACTGTGTTTAGTTGGCATCTTAGGAAAAATTATTATTCATCAGAAGAAATAGGAGAAAATGACCCTCACCAAAGAGAAAAAAGAAATCAATGAACACAAAAAGATACTAAGTGAGACACAGTGAAAGAAACTTGGTAGAAAAGAGTGTTAATACAATTATTATAACTGTCTTCTAAAAGGTTATGCATGATAAATGGAGATATGGAAAATATGAGATCCCATTTGGACTTACAGAATGGAGAATGACAATGACGGAGATGAAAACACTCTGAGTGTAGTGAACAGATTATACGTGATGGGAAACACTGCACTTAAACACAACAGCTACAATGACATAAAAGGGAAAAAGAAAAAATGAAAAGAATACCAGGGAATTGTGTGAGATTATGTTAAACAGCCAAAAATGATATAATTAAAGCTCTCAAAGAAAGAACAAAAAAGGATGAGAAAGAAAAAAATATTTGAATAAGTATGGCCAGAAATTTTCCAAATTTCAATTAAGTTACAAAACCACAGATCCAAGAAGCTGAATGAACCAAAACAAAATAAATATGAAAAAATACATCAAGGCACATTGTAATCAAATTGTTCAAAATTAGTGATAGAGAGAACATTTTTAATATAATGGAAGACACTTTTTCTCATAGAACATCGAAGCTCTAAAAGAGAACGAAAGGCTTGCTAACCTAGTTCTGTGTCTATTACAGCATCTTTCAGAAAGAAGCAGATGGAGGAGATGACCTTGGGTAGCACGTGACCATGTGAGAAGACATTTACATCCCACATCCTTGAGGAAGTCCAAGTTGGACCACCACGGGACCACAGAGGGCTAAATTCCAAGACAATTGGGAACACCTGATATGGGGAGGATGTGGAGCAACGGGAATTCTCACTGCTCACAGGATACAGAACGTTCCAGGCCCTGGAAATGTGGCAGTTTCTTACTAAGCTAAACATATCTTACACCTTCTTGAGGTGTGTTCCTCGGCATTTATCCAAGGACAGTGAAAAGTGAAATTCACAGGATATCCACACTGCAATGTTCACAGCAGCTTCTTTGTAACTGCCCAAACCTGGCATCAGCCAAGACATGGTTCTCCCTATAAAGGGAAAATGTGTAAATAACTCGTAATATAGCCACACAGTGGGATACTATTCAGCAATAAAAAGAAATGAGGTGTTGTCAAGCCACAAGAGACTTGGAGGACTGACACGTGGTGTTAAATTAAAGAGGTCAATCTGAAATTCTACAGCCTTACTATATGATTCCAGTTGTACGGCACTCTGCAAATGACAAGAGTGTGGAGACAGTCAGCAGCTAGTAGAAGCCCAGGGGAATGACAGGAGGAAGGAGTAAATGGGTGGCACACAGCAGACTGGAAGGCATGAGACGAGTGTGTAACACTGCAGTGGTGTATACATGCACAATACACGTGGCCAACGTGAGCCCACAGAATGTAAAACACACACGGAATCATGTGCACCAAAGAGTTCAGTATCTGATACTGGTTCATGAATGTAACAAACATACTACACAAATAAAGGATGTTAATAATAGCGGAACTGGGAGGGAGAAAGATTATAGGGGAACTTTCTGTTCAATTCTTCTATCAACTTAAAATTCCTCTACAAAATAAAATTTATTAATGTAAAAAAATCAACACAAGAAAAAAAAGGGACAGAAGCAGGAAATAAAAATTTAGAGTTGGGCACGGAGGCACACGCCTATAATCCTAGTGCTGAAGGAGGCTAAAGCAGGAACATTCCAAATGCAAGTCCAGCTAGGGCAATTTAGCAAGATGCCATCTCAAAATAAAAAAACAAGAAGGGTTGGGGATGTAACTCAATGGTAGATCACCCATGAGTTTGATCCCCAGTACCAAAAGAAAAGGATTCTTCTTATAATAGCTTTTGTACACACATATCCTTTTCAATAAACACAACAGTACCATAAGAAAAGGAAAAACATATTTTGTTGACATTCAAACACCAAAAGAATCTCCAGCTGAAAGGTTTACAAGGAAGTCCTCCGTAAAAGGAAAAACACTACCAAAATGTGGATTTGTGTATAAGAATGAAAAGCACATAGAGTGATAAATAAGTGAATATAACAGACTTTCCCTTACTTTAAAAATCATTTTCAATTAACTTTTTCAAGCAAACCTAGCAATGTACTTGGGGTTTGTAACATGTGCAAATAAAGGGTAGAACAGTAAGACCACAAAGGTTGGGGAGAGGACTGGAAAGTATAGTTTACCCTTGAGCAAAATGGGTTTGACCAGTTCTGACCCTCTTATATGTAGAATATTGCCTATGTGTGTGACTCACGACAATTTTTTTTGGTACCAGGAATCAAACTCAGGACCTCACACTTTCTAGGGAGATGCTGCATCACTGAGCTGTATCCCCAGCCTGAGACATGACAATTTGAAAAAACTCCCAGATGAACTGCATAGTTTGGATAAACCAAACAACTAAGAACTAGTTACGTTCATCATGAATGTATAAAATATGTCGATAATGATCTACTCTATGGTTTGGTGCCCTAATGTGCACGATCTGTGACAGGGTTGCAATCTCATCGAAGCATACGCACCCATCTTTCCAGACCACGGGCAGCACAGAGCAGTCCGCGTGGACATACAGAGGGCAGCCTTGTGTCGCCCGAGCAGAGCGTGCTGCAGGACCTGCTTCACCAGTATGTGACACCACAGCCCCTGCTGTGGGTACAGCATGGACGCAGGGAGCCTGGGGGCTGAGTCCCCTCCGCTGTGTGACAACAGTCACATCTACGCAAGCAATCTGTGTCTCCAGGAAACTGTATACTGCAATAAGAATGCTATCTTGCAGTTTTCCAGCATCTTTCTCTAGATAGGATATGTCTAACACATGTGTTGGTCAACCGTTTCCGCTACCAGTAAGGCTTCCAGTCAACTGCAGGTTATTACAAGGTAAGTCACATGTGGATTTTCAGCCGCATGGGGGTCAGTGTCTCCAACCTGTGCGCTGCTCAAGGGTCAACTGTAAGGTTCTTATACTATATGTAAAGTGCTATGTTTCTGAAGTGAGAATACAATACATAAGAGATATACATTAATTCTAAAGCAACCATTAATAAACTGTCACAGTTAATAAGAAAACAAAGGAGATGATAAAAATCTCAATGCAAAAAACACAAAACAAAACTAAACAAAAAATAGGATAGGTGGAACACAAAGAGGAAAGCAGACAGCAAGATGGTGAATTTAAACCTAACCATATCAATATCCATATTAAACTAAAGCAGAGATTATCAAGGGGAGCAAGATTCAACTACATGGTACCTGCAAGATACCGATTTTATGAAGACAGAAAGCAAAGAGTGGAAACAGATAAAATAAACCATGTTAACAACTGTCAAAACGAAGACGACATGACTACAATAGTTCTTACCAAGTAGATTTCATAGCAAACAGTATTACCAAGAATAAAGAGGGGTTTTCATAAGGACAAGTTAATTCATCAAGAGAACATACGACTGCTCAGGACTTTTACACCTAATAGAGTTAAAATACATGATAGATACAAAACAAATAGAACTGAAGAAAACAGACAAGTACACAACTGTAGCATATTTCCACATGGTTTTGTCAGCAATTGACAGAAGAAGGAAGAAAATCAGTAGAGACGCAGAACACCACAGTCGTCCAACCCGACTCTGCTGACATCTGTAAGATACTCGACCCCCAGCAGCAGAGCACATTCTCCTCAGGTGTCCAGGTAGCATTCCTCAGGGAACACCACATTCTGGACCAAGCAGGTCCCAATAAATTAGGCCTTCAAGCACTAGCGCTTTCTCTGAGCACATGGAATTAAATCAGATATTAGTGGCATAAAGATATCTGCAAATTTTCCAAATACTGGAAAGTAATTAAAACCCTGCAAAATATTCCATGGGGCAAAGAGAAAGAAATCACGAGAAAATATTTTGAAGTGAATTAAAATACGACGTATCAAGATTTTGGAAGGTATCTAAAACATCACTTAGGGGACAATAGTAGCACTGAATGCTTGCATTTTAAAAACAATTTATGAATTATAACTATAAAGTCACGGTTGTCATGTATGACTTTAAATCCCTGTCATGTTATGGTCACTAAGTAAAACTTGGAATTTATTTTTTCAATTCAGTATTTACAGCACTTCCTTTGCACACTAGAAGATTCTGCTTAGAAAAGCAGCCAGGTAGGGTAGATAAACAAATTCAAATCAGGTTTGCATTCTGACCATCACAGAAATCCTTTGACCTAGTCAACTTTATGGACTTTTTGTTCCTGTGAGAAGAAATAAGACTACCTATTTCATAAGTTTATTTTGAGTTGATAAATCAACTGATACACTTCAAACAGTTTCTGGCATCTAGTAGGTACTTAATAGTTATCTCCTTTTTTTGTGTTATACTGTTTGGAAAAGTTACCATTCCAAACATTACCCAGAGGGAGTCTTTCTTACATGCTGTTTGAAATATTCCAGTAGGAACAAATAAACTCTGCCTTATTACATGAATTTGCTGACATCGCATTGCCTTTAATAACTGCAACAGGCCACCAGACTCTTCAGCTATGAACAAGGTCCATACTAACTCAAACTAACAGTTATCACCAATACCTTCTTTAAATATTCAGACACCGATGATTTAAAACATAAATGTCAAAATGTCTGATTATTACTAGTAAATAAGATATGATTAGAAGTTTTCTCGTAAGTGTCACTCATTACCTTGCTACTGGTAATGTATTTGCAATTAATCTTAAGAAATTTCTCAGTAAATGCTTCTTCTTCTTCAGATGTGGAAGATACAACTCGTGCTGGTCGAATACCAGTAAGAGCAGACACGGGAGTTGCTTCTTTTGGATGGGCTGCATCAGGATTCTTAAAAGAAAAAGAAAAGGGCACTTTAAAGAAAAACTATGTAAAACAGATTATTAAAGCCAAATGAACCATTTTTCCCAATAAATTCTCATCTTCCTATCCACATTTTGGAGGTCATCCCAAAACAGTCTTACATAAAAATGTTTCCATTCTCCACCTGGCTGCTAAGGTAGAACATCAACCTGATCAGCTTTGGGATCCACAAAAGGTGTGTGTGGATGGGCTGTGGAGGGTGGGTCGAGGTCTGTCTTCTTGCCTACCCTTCCTCTCCAGCACCCTTCCCCTGCTCTGAGTTGACAGATCACATAGACATACACACATGTAATCACATCTAGAATCATCTGGAAAGCATTAAAATGAACATCACCTGTATCCTTACACTCATGCTCCAACACCCAGATGCTCAGGTACTCATGAATTAAACCACTAATTCTGGTAAGAAAATATAACATCCATGAAGTGTGTGGAGGAAAGAAAAGATGAAGACCTTGTCTATGGTAACTAGGTATTCAGCAAAACACATTCACTGGAAGTCTGAAACTTGAAACTACGAAGAATTTATCGACACTATTTTACAAAGGGTAGCTTAGCTTTCCCAGTACCATGAGCCATTCTCACAGTGCAATCTATGGCCTTCTTCTCAATGTGGTTGAATGGTTAAAATAAAATATAGACTTATAAAGCCAAACAATTACATATATTGAACCACAACTATCAAGGCATTTTAAAAAGCAAATTGGAAATACAATGATATGTATTCTTCTCTATTAATACTTAAATAACAAGATCTACTGGTGACTGACAACTATGGTATCTATAACTCTAAAGTGATCTGAAAACATTAATGAGATTTACTGAGGTCAAAGTCACAGGTATTCCTGGTATTGATTTATTTGCTGTTATATTTCTTTACTTTAAAAAATGTTAGATGGCACTTAAAATTTATATATGCAAGCTCACAGACCCTTTACATATTACACAGGAATGTTCTCCGTGAAAGTTCTATATTCTGTACCTTGAAGGAAGGCAAACAGATGCCTTTAGACCTGTTGTAAGTATCTCCACAGAGCATTCTGTACCTTATGAACAAACGCACACTGCTCTATACAGAGTTTTCACAGTAGTAAGGTTCTGGGCTTTATAACTTCTACTTAGTAGCTCTAATTTTTTAGCTTTTGGAAATAATAAATAACACTGACCTTCTAGATTGTTGGTGGTAATGTAAACTAGTCACCACTATGGAAATCAGTATGGAGAGGCCTCGAAAACATAATACTAGGAATTCTACTTAACCCAGCTATTCCCCTTCTAGGTATCTTCCCGAAAGAGTTAAAGACATCATATTACAGTGATACATGACTTGCACACTTAAGTTTACAGCAGCACAACTCATCATCGCTAAACCTTGGAAGTAACCTATATCCATCAACAGATGAAAGGATAAAGAAAATGTGGTATTTACACACAGTGGAGCACTGCTCTGCCATAAACATAAACTGGAGTCATTTGCAGGAAAATGGATGCACCTTGAGACCATAACGTCAAGTGAAACAAATCAGACAATTAAGCTTAAATATCACATGGTTTCTCTTATACAAGAGGCCCAAAGTATAAACAGCAAAATGAATGAGAGAAAATAGGGGTAGAGAAATCTTTCTCAAAGGGGAAAGGGATCAAGAAATGGAAGGAGCAGGAGGAAGGAGAGGGGCAGAACAAAGGTATGAGAGGTGTTACATACACGCACCAACTCCCCGTGGGGAGTGTAAGCACTATGTAGGCAAATATGGACTAGTGAAAAATAAGTAAAACTAAGTAAGATTGCTTTTCCTTCGATCCCATAGACTCTGAGGTAAGTGAAGACAGATACCAAACTTTCACATGACTTTTTCTTTCCTAATCAATGACTCTACCACCTTCAAACCCTCTTTAGATCTCCTTCCATGCATCCCTTCACAACCCCTAGCATGGGACAGACACTCATAGATGCTGGTTGAGGGAAGGACATCCCTCGATATACTGCAAATCAGCTACGTTTAGTATACAACCATTCAACATTTTTAATAACCTCAATTTTAATGGTCACATACCAATGCCCAATTTTATCTGTTAAAAATTCTTCATTTTTTCATATTCTGATGCAAGTGAGTCACTTTAAGCTCATTCTGTTGTCTTTGATACTTAACATACCTAACACCCTTTACCATGTATATAAAGTAATTCAGCACAGCTGACCAAACAGGTGATACTGATAGCCTCAATGGATGGTTACTGAAAACCTGCTATATGTAAGTCTGTTACAGGGACCATTTAATTTTTAATGCACTCAGATGAAGTATATATAATGACCTAGTTTTTAAGGAAACTTATGCTTAGTCAAATTCTGTAACTTGCCAAATGAGTAAGAGGAAACTGAGCTACAAAAGGACTCCTGAGTTTATCTGCAATACCCTAAATCGCCCCTCACAGATCTACCAAATGAGGGGTAAATGTGCCAAGAAAAACCACAACTCCCCATGCAGAGGTATTGCAAAGGTCCTGCGAGTGGGCAAAGAGCTATCAACACATTTTCCTGCTCAATCACTGTACTCCCAAATCCAACCCACAGCCCTGTTATCTACTATGCACCTGTGCTATTACACATGTATGCATATACATACATACATAATCTATATGTAAGGATACAAGTACATTGTCAGTGCTTTCCTTAAAGGAAGATAGCTCACTGAATAGCATGGTCTCTAAGGTCCTCTCCATCTTGATTTTTCAAGGTAACCCTAAAGTTAGCTTATTAGCAAATACACAAAATACAGCACAAAAGATATGATTTCTTTCAAAAAGAGATCAAATTTTTGCAATGAATTATCAGACTTTTTTGTAACTTACATAAAAGTTCTTTATTCAAAATATCAGTATCTGTAGGTAGCTGATTTTAATTGATATTTAGCAATTCACACTCTGAATGCAGTGGTTTTGAAACTCATCTGAGGACATTCTAATATTTCTCAGCATCATTGTTTTAGCCACCAGAAAAGGAAAGATTTTTAAAAATAAAAAGTGTAAATACCTATCCAGCCTCAGTACTTCCCTGCATACTTCAATGCGAAAAAACTAAGGATTGCTCAGACAGTGGTTTTAAAATGTTGAAGTGGAATCATCCTTTTTGTGCAATTTGACTGTACGTTATGCAGTATTACTATCAATCACTACAACACACTATAACTTCAAACACTTCACGTCACTTCTTGCTGAGGTTTTACTGTGTTTTACCCCCTCGTGGTTGAAATTTACAGAAATGTTTGCATGTAACACGTAGTTAAAACATAGGCTATAAAAGCCACACAGGTACAGAAATACCAACATCTGCAGTTATTTCATATACCATGTATGTGCAATACAATCTAAAAGAAAATGTTTATTTGTAAAGCAATGTATACTATTTCTTCAATCCAATAAATAATGAATACCACTTATCTCATAATTTTAAACAATTTAGGGGTGGTTGAGACAGGGTCTTGCTATGTAGTTCAGGATGACCTTGAACTCACTATGTAACCCAGCCTGCCCTCAAACTTGTGGCGATTCACCTGCCTCGGCCTCCCCAGTGGGGGGGTTACAGGACAGGAAGGAATCCCATTAGTGTTATACTTGGGACCCTGGGTCTGGCTCTGAGCATCCTAGAAACTAGGTTGAAAGCAGAACAGGATCAATATTTAATTCTGATCATAAAATCTCATTCAGAAACTGAAAGATAATTGTCATCTTACAACTTAATCTGCTGTTACAAATATAAGAAATCTTTCTATATTAAAAAATTGGTTTCCTAAAATCTTAATAAATGTAAAATCTCTCTATATAGTTCAATTTTATCAAATATGAACCATAAAATTTTCTTCTGAGAATTATAAGGGTGTCTTGGTTACTTTTCTTTCGTTGCTGGGACAAAATACCCAACGCCCAAAATGAAGGAAGGAAAGGTTTATTTAGCTCACAGTTTGTGGAGGTTTCAGTCCATACTTGGCCGGCTCCAGGGCAGAGTGGCACATGGCAGAGAGCAAGCGTTCATGGTGACAGAACACAGCAAAAGCAGTAAGAGCAAAGGGGAGGAATAGTAGAAAACAGCCTCTTTCTCTCCCTGACATATGCAAATTACCGCCCTAGGGCGGATGTAACACTCACACCCCATAATCCCGGCACTAGATCATGGATCAATCATAAATTCTAAAAGCCTGCCCCATGACTGCATGAGGCTTTGAGGGGACATCCAGACACAAACCATAACAAAGGGATATGCTTATAGTCTATTAAACAGTACATATTAAAACTCGTAATTCCCTAGTAAATTGTTAAATTTAAAATCTGTTTTAAAAAAAAACTAAACTGTATAGAATGTACTATATTTGACATAATTTGTTATCTTCTGTATGGAATTTACACTTATATAACTATTATAACATATAAGCCCACATAAGTAGAATAGTGAGTTAAATTGTACATACTCACATATTAAGATATGTTTAAAATCCTTAAAGTTAAAACTCATTTACATTTTATACGAAACATAAAATATATGTCATATATATAAATTTTTTATGGAGTGGGTACTAGTGGTTTTAAGTTGAAAAATACAGAGACAAAGAATAAGAAAGGGAAGAGGTTTGTGACTTAAGGATGGCCTATGGGAGTGATTCCTAAAGTATACACAATATTTAAGCTTTTCAAACCACTCTGACATTTTTACCCAGTTTTTATAATTTCTTCCACATCTGGTATTACTTGTAATTGATGTCTGTTCTCAGGTGCACAGGTAATACAACTTCAAGGTAAGATTTAAAAAGGGGTTTGTTTTACACAATCACAAATATTCACAAGCTCCCCAACCTCTCTGAGAAACGAGTCACACTCTTCCACGTAACTTCTCATCTATAAGTGAAGAATATTTACTAAAAACTTTCTGAAAATTACACTTAAGTGTAGTTAAAAATTTTCTGGGCCAGGGATAA